AAAACTTCTATAGCAGAGGACTTCAGACAATGTGCATCCAACTAGTTCGCCCTGACAACATGAGCAAATTACGAAAACGAGGTCAGATCACTTCTATACGTCGAAAGGAGACTGCGACGTTGATGCAACGTCGCTGTCTTCAACGCTCGGGAGCAGATAAAAGGCGCAAAAGAGATGTCTGTGGAGCAGACCGGCAACCTGGATGCTTTACTGCTGCATCTACAACAGCTTGGCCATCATATCTAACTTTACGAATAGTTTTCTATATGAAATAAAAACGCATTATATCAGTTGAAGCCAAGTAAATGCAACTTACTATCTAATTGAATGCAGCTTTTAATGAGGGTGGCGAAAATTTTTCTTTCTTATAGCGATTGATATCTAAACTTTAAAAATGTATAGAAGTTGTTTGACCTTGTTTTCGCAACTTGGTCAAGTTGGTAGGAAGACTTAGAGGAACGCACCTAGTCCGGAGTCCATTGTATGCATCATCATTTCCAAACTTGGAGCGTAGATTTGGTAGATTCCCAGACGTTTCGTCGGCATCCTCAGTGGGTCTCGCCATTCTTAGCACCACACAACAACTCGTCAAAGAGACAAGTGAAGCCGATCCTTTGATCAAATGTGTGCTAAACAGTTGTGGTATCTCTCCTTCTGTCTGGGACTATTCACATTTCCCATATCCTCGTATCACACCTTCACTAGTTAAATTTTTTAACCGTGCTTATTTATATGTAGTGTGGTGTGCCCTTTTGAGCAGCTTTCATGAGAACCCTCCGCAATTCACGCTGGCGTTCTCATCCCACTTCACCCTTGTACTGGGAATGTTGATCAGTCTGCCATATTGTTACGCAGCCCTACTTCCATACGTCTTATCAGAGTCCACAGGGCAAGAGGGAGACTCTGATTCCGGCGAAACGTTTAGGAATGTACCACGTCCGCGATCCAACTTTCAGAATGATCATGCATACAACGGACTCCGGACAAGGTGCGTTCCTCTAAGTCTTCCTACCAACATGACCAAGTTACGAAGACAAGGTCAAACAACTTCTATACAACGAAAGAAGACTGTGACTACACAAAAGGCCACACCATCTTGGTCTTTATAGCTTCGTTTAAAAATGTATTTTGCCAAAGCTTGGTGTATATGATTATGACGCTCCCATACTAGCAATATGTTGATTTTTCTGAACAATTCGATTTTCTGTAAGCCGAAATCTGGCGGATAATATGGATGGAAATCATAGACCTTAAGGATCCTAGGCTTGTCATATGTTTCAAGCGGTAACTAAAATTTCACGTCATGCCAAATCTACCTTCCTATTTTTATAATAAGACTTCTTTTCGAAGATATGAAGACCAAGCTGTTGTGGCCTCTGGTATGGTCGCAGACTTCTTTTCCTCTCATAAACAACCCACCTTGCCCAGGTTCTAGTGCTGGCAGGCTTTGCACAGCAGGCACTGGACACATCACGACGTTGAGATTTTCTGCTCTATCAACTCCATTGAGAGCACCTGTCTCTGGGTCCAAGGTCCTATGGCCGGAAGTGGGCATAGCAGAAACTAGCTGAGCTTGAGTTCGATCCACTAGCCGTCCAGGCTGCATCCCAGCAAGCTTGCGTGTTAATTTATTGATGCGGATGGATGACAGATCAAAAAGGTTCTCCGAAATATTTTGGATTGAAGGAGTTAGGTATGATCCTGTTCTCCATACTTCGATAACAGCAGACGCCGATGCAACGTCGCTGTCTTCAACGTTCGGGAGCAGATGAAAGGCGCAAAACAGCTGTCTCTGAAGCAGACTGGCAACCTGGACGCTTTGCTGTTGCCTCAACTCGCTTTTCCGACCAAAATTGGCACTAAATGTTTTAGGCCTGGCGTGGCCGAAAGCAAAGTCATTTGGAGAATAGAGTGGCTCTAAGTCCGGAAGGACTGAAGACAAATGTTCTACGCGAAGATGAATAATGGCTGAACGATGAAGGAAAGAATCGCTGGATTTGGGATGCTGCATGCCGACGGGTTCAACCTCGATTATACGTGGGCACCTGGGATAAAGCAATATAGAAATATCGCAAGATGATGTAATTTCATTTTGTATTCCCATTAGTTAACAAATATGAAATGGTTGGATATGAGGCCAGTAATGGATTTACATAATGATTCTCTATTTTGCGCTAGGAGTTACTTTACTATAATATGATGCCGCCAAAAATGAACAGAGATAATGATGCTTGGTATGCCATATTACAATCTTTCAGATGAGTTATTTGCCAGAAAGATATAAAAATTATGAATAGGATAAAAGTGAGAACCCACTGAAAATGAAGTTAAATGCATCAGAGTGTTTGCAAATCAGAACGATAATGTACATTGAGTGAGTAGAAAATAAAGCAGTGGTGAAGAGCAGTATGACAAAAGGCATGAAACAGTTGGGCAATGTGTAGACATTAAGGGTTGATATTAATAAAGCAAGTACATGATTTAAGAATGAAGGATATGAAAAAAATACAGAGGATATTACAAACAAAACAAAAAAAACTTTCCGATTTTAATAAAATCATTAGAAAAATGCTCAGTTGTATGTCGACAGATTCAATAAAATCAGCGGCTAAAAAATCTCAAGTTAATGAAAATTATCTGCTAGTTTAAGACACCACTTGCAAATCAACTTTAAATTTTAAACATGGTGAGCTGGAGCTTTAATGACTAGTTCCATCGCAACTCTCGTTAGTTTGCTAAAACATCAAATTAGCCTTCCAGGTCTAAAAGTAATTTATGGAAGATGGTAAAACTTGGCAGGGAAATTAAACAATGTGGTTAACTCTTAGGCCATAAAACACAAAATAACGAATGAGATGTATTCACCCTATTTCGTCTAAGGTGATGAAGGACTGGAAGTAAAATTTTCCCACAATGATAAGAGTCGAGCGGACGTTTCCATTAAATTTCACATAACCTTGCTTTCCCAAAACTTGTGCACATCCAGAGTAAACTGCAGTTTCAACCTCTCATAGGTCTTCTCAACACCACCAACGGGAATCGAACCGTGACAGTGCGGCATGTGAGCTTGACACGTTAACCACTCGGCCACAGTGCCACAAGTGCCCTTGGGTCACAGGGCAGATGCCAATTTCAACGAGGGTCAGGCCCTTTCCCATGTCACATCTCATATAACTGAATTACTGGTAACCTCGATATTATTTATATACGAAAAATATGTAATATATTTGATTTTTATAGCAAAAATACGTTTTCTTCATAGAAAATCCCACCAAAGAATGCGATATGGAAAAAGCCCTGGACT